AGATTTTTAATTTTTTTTTCCCCCGGGGGCAGGGGGTGTGTGTGTGGGGGGCAGGGATACCTCAAAAATAGCCAAGTGTTTATGGCACTGACTTAACGAGGACCCAACTCAGAGCAAGGACTTCAACCTAGGCCTCCCCTCACATGCCAGGTCAGTGCCACAACCACTTGTTTCAACTAGAGTCGGGGTGCTTTGACTAGAAATTCTACTGCAAAGCTGGAAGACCCTGACAAAACTTTCATTTCCTATAAGTTCCAGCCAAAACATTTTGTTTTGACAAATTAGCATTTTATGACAAAATACCGTTTCATCAGACAATCTCTGACCCAGTCTAAATAAGAGTGTTAAGATGACCATCACCAACAATGGAGCTGCTCCAATCCAATAGTGAGAAGTGTTATGTATATTAATATCTCTATAATTCTTGTCATAATCTTAAACTGATTTCTACAATATAAAAGTCTTGTAAAGCGGTAAATTCTAGCAATCTAATCTTTGCTTATATATTCAACCTGCTTGTAAGACATACCAATGGTCGAGCGTCTTCTCGTTCCAAGATCTTCTGGGTTTGGTCAGCTGGGAACTTCAACACTGTAGTTATAACCTTTGCCATTGTCTAAAAAAAAAAAAATTATGATTTATAACCAACTAACTTCACAAGCATTAAAAAGATTATATTAAACTTTTATGTAACTTTTTAAAATGCATTAATAGAAGTACAGAATAATATACATGTCGCAGTATTTTTTCTATGCCTTCCACTGGCTTTGCTAAAAATATTAGTTTCACATTTCACTTACATGACACATAGCATGTTATGTGAATTCTATGAGACCCAAGAACCAACTGCTGCTACCCATAACTCTAGAGGACACATCAACTCCTTTAATAAAACACAACTATGTCACTAAATACTCAACTCTTAACACAGGTTTTTCCCTATGAAACCTCTCATCAGTATGCCAACTCTAAAAGTAACTCATCACCAGAAATATTGCTTTTGAGAGTTGACTACATTTTATCATACCTATATATTGTAAAAGAAACTCAGAAATCTATGCTACTGTACCACTATGTTAGGTACAGAGCTTCAGCTCAGTGGGAATACACTCCGCAGGTGCAGCATTTGAGAATTTAAATAACTGACATATTCCCAAGGCAAGGAGGACTTGCTTTTTCCTTTTATTCTGAACAATAGTAAAAGCTGATGGGCAGGTGATTTTACAAAAAAGGTCAAGGACTTTTCCACTCGACCCACGGTGTAGCTCTAATTGAACAAGCTTGCAAAAGAGATAAGATTGCAATTCATCAACTTCTGTGGTTTCCCCATCAGTCCTACAAGTGAAGTGATGAAGGAACTATAGAAACAGAAGAGATAGCTAGAGAACAGGTGAAAGAGTAGGCCACACATGTAGCAAGTGCACATCACAGGTAACTTTTATCTGGTGATGAAGTAAAAGAATTCCCCTTGTTAACATTTCTATTTAATCAGCTTAAATTTTGTTTAAACTATTTTCAGCCCTAATGATGTTTTTTGAGTTCATCTAATGGAGTTTGCAGATATACTGGGAGAATGTCTCCAATGCCATAAAATAACATCACACTTCTCTAACTTTTCTTGCCAAACTCGTCATCACAACTTCTTATATCTGAAATATCTCACAGAATGAGCTCAGGATCTGCCCACACTCTCATAGGACAACTACTTCTGAACCCCTCACTTTCAAGCTTACAACAGGACACAATGGTATGCAAAAAAGTTAAAGAAAATATACATCCATTGCAAATAATACAGGAAAGAACGTATACATGTGCGCCAACTCAAACAGACATTCTTAAGACACTCTTTCCTGAAAATGTCCATTTTGTAATCTATCACTAGCAAGGCCTTGAAATTCTCCAAGTTCTTGTGGTCACAAGGGAGATTTAGAAATAAAAGTGTTTCAGAAGTTACGCATGTAGAATACAAGCTTGCAGGGATTTCAGAATTTAAGATTGCATTCTTTAAAACAGCAAAATGTTTACCTTATTTATCATCTTGACTGTATTTTACTAGAAAAACCAGGTAAAGCAGACAATAATCCCTTGCTTTCACATGCCCATATTAATGGCAGTCCTACTGAAACAGTATATATTTTACATTCCAACTGACTATCAACTCTTTTAAGAAGCAGAGAACATTTACAGATGTCCTCATCAATTTTCTAAATTTCCTAAAAATATCAGAGTGCCATTAGTTTCCATATTTCCAGCCTGGTATGACTGGAACAGAACTGCTGATCACTGACGAAGTTCTCTGAAGCTTTTAAATGATTCACTTCCATTAGCAACAATTCCAATAGGATTTCAAAGTCCCAGACAACATTTAAATGTAGAAGCCAGTAACAGCAGAAAAAGCATATCTAGATTCTCAAAGGAACATCTGCATGTATTTAGCTATTTCAGAAGTGCAAGCTGGAAAGCAAGAAAAACTTGGAATAACTGTGACAGAACACCTTCAATGGTAGTACTTGCAAAGCTGCTTGTGTCTCTCACCATAGATGTCCGCATAAGACACAGAAAACACATAGGGGTCAGAGTGACTCTCACCCCAAGGAACAGACTGCAAACTACATAACAGAACTGCAAGGCGGAGCATCTGCAAGGGCAATCCTGTAGATTTCGTATACTAAGAGAACCAAGCTCCTGGTATACTTAATAAACAAATATGTAAAGCAGTGCAGTATATTTGGTTAGCTCAGGTGTCTACATAAATGTAGAGAATGTTATTTTAATACCCCCAAGAGTGTTTCTTATGTACCTCACAGTACAGACAAACTGAATGAAGTTCATGTCTGGAAAAGCTTAGTAGGTATTTTTTGCACATGTAATAAAGAGGCATCAGAATAAAACAAGGTTAAGTGCAAGAAAGGAAAAAGTAAAATTACACGGCTCACAGCAAAATTTTATGTTCAGTATGACACAACATTTTCAGTTTAGGATAAAACACGTACATACATAGTATATAGCGTATGTGGAAACGGATGTTAAAGACAGATTTGGCTACTGGCTTGACTAAGCTCATACGGTCAGTTTCTCATGGGAGAGTTGTTCTCCCAGGAGAAACTATGACTGTACAGATGTTCAGGCTTTTTTCCCCCCCCAAGAGTAAAAATGGCCACTCCAGAAAAAAAATAACCTGAGAACAACCATGGTTAAATCAGTCCCAGGAGTTTCTCCTGAGACAGCAAGTGTCTGTGCATGCTGTGGCTTCTCTCAGAATAGAACACCATATCCCTGTGGCAGGAGGGGGATTCTGGAGGACAGTATTCACTCAATGGACTCTGCAGCAGGAAGCAGAATATGCCCCCTTCACAATCCTCACATTGTGTTGCAAGGAAGCACAGGGTGACCATGGGCAGTCTGGGGCAGCCCACCAGGGTATGCACTGCTGCCATCTGTTGCCGGGTTGACTAAGAGAGCATGCAGAGCATGCTGAGATGTGTGCACAGACCCCACCATCAGCACTGCAAGCTCTTCACTTTTCAGGGCCTCAGCATTTGAATATCTGTACCCACAACTCTGGATGAAGTTTCTTTACCAAAAGAACAAACCTGAGGTCATTCTCCCAGATTATTTCAGTGTGTGTACATAGCCTAACAGTGTCAAAAAGGTACACTGATTATTTTAGGCAAGCTGAGACTTGGGCTTAGAAGTAACAAGTTGAAATGTGATAAAGGCTAGGGTATGTACATACAACACTGGTCTCACTTACATTAGTTTCCATACAGGTGAAAGTTATTTTGGTGTCTAGCACAAACCAACAACTAAATTTCAAGCAGTAGTTTCCTGCAAAAAAAATGCTGCTATTGCAACTTACCACCAGGTAGCAAATTAATCAGTAAGAGAGTCTTTGCATGGAATAACATGCTATCCCAGGATGTAATTGACTAGGGCTGTAGACACATCATCTACATTCTCGTATAACTTACCAATGAAACTCTTGATTTCTTGTTGGGCAACCTACTACTGAATGTAAATGTAGCTCCCAAAGCTAAGAAATTTGTTGCTTTAAAAATTCTCTCTCCAGCCATTTATTTGAATTGAATGAATTCCCTTTCTCAATTATATTAATTTTAAAATAATACTTTCCTCAGCAGTTGTAAGAATTACACATCTGTCTCCACTTGAGTATAATTTATTTTCATTCTGGATACACATATGATCTTAGGATCCATTCTTGAATGCAGACCTCTTTTGGTTAACAGAGGTTCTTCCCCCACTCTCCCACCCCAGAATTAATCCGTTTGAACTGAGGACAGAAGCCAGATCCCTCAAATCAATCTACCATGTTACATAGTACTGTATATTGTATGCCAGATAGGAATTTTGTGCTTATCTCAAATCACAGATAAAATATATGGCTATTAGTTTTTACTGACAAATTCTGCAGCTTCATTCCTTGCCAGAAAAATCATAAAAGTAAGCCTAGTTTTAGTGTGCTACCACAAAACTAGCTCACATTTTCAATTTAAAAGTCCCAAAATAAGCATTGTAGTATCTTGGGCACCAACAAGAAACAATTTTAATCAGTAACACACATTACCGGAGCCACGCTAAATACAGTTCAAGAGTTAAAATTAATCTAAAGACATTTCATGTTAAACTTTAAAAGCAGATTTGTTAATCATACCATAGGAGTTGTCTGCTGCTATCTAATACAGCGTTTCCCATACCGTGGGTTGCAACCCAAAAGTGAGTTGTGAGAATATATAAAACGGTTGTGAACAAACTTTAAAAATGGATTCTCCTTTAAAGGATAAGAACAGGGAAACCATGGATTTTCCTCTACAGGCTGGCAGAGTTCCAGCCTGTGATGGGCTGCTTAGGGCCCCCCCACCAGACACACCCACCTCCTACCCCACACACAGGAGGGGGCTGGGGAGCAGTGGGTTGGGAGTGAGGAGCACTGGGTCACGACTGGCCACTGATGTTTATAAATGGGTCCTGGTAGAAAAAAGGTTGAGAACCACTGGTCTAAAACTGGTTTGAAGTAATCTAAACTGCTTACTAGTCACTAGATGCTAAACTGTTTTCTAAAAGGCATACCTTCTTGTTTGCAACAATCCCCTAAACCCCCTAACAACAGACTTTAAAATAATATGTGCAGGCAGCAAGTTGCATACACCTCTAGCATTTCTTTAATAATTTCAGCATTAAAGTAGGAGGATAGTATCAATGGTTTAGCGCTAAATCTAACTTCTGAAAGAATCGGGTAGGGAAGTTTTTATTCTGACAAGAGATTTATTTTTTGTTGGTGGTGTTTTGTTTGTTTTTATTAAAAGTAATTGATATTAAGGAACAAAAAGAAAAGGAATAGAAGTGAAAGGCACAGAAGAATTTAAAAATTGTAACTTGAGTAACATTTTGTTTAGAAAAGTACTACATTTTATATAGGGCACTTAAAAGGAACAAAGTTGATTGCTCTAGTATTCTAATAAATTCTTACTACTGTAAAGCTTCAACATTAGTCCCAGCTACAAACATAACAAAAACCGGAAGAACTACAGAGAGGAAAGGTATTTAGTCTTAAAAAAGGAAGATATCTATCTACATAACAGAAACATTTTGCTTGGACAAGCAACATCTAGACATCTTTTTTCAAACCTAGCCAATTTCTAAGCCTAGGGGTTGTTACTAGATACTAGAAGCCCAACTTCATAAGAAATTCACTGGCTGGCAAATTTAGTATTCAGTCTTTTACTTCTGCAAACAGCAAGAACTGCTCAAAATGTAACCTCTCAGAGAAGTTACACACCCATGAGATGTGATGTGCATAGGTTTTAGAGAAGATATGCTGTAAATTCAGAATGACACACAAGACATAATCCAATAATTTATTATTGCTGGCTATGGTATCAAAACAACATCGCAATATTAATGACCAAAATACAAAGACAAAAACCCCTATTGTTCAATTTCTGGCCCTACTGGTAAAATGAATACCAGCAACCCCCACTCCACTAGTCAAGACACATTACGCTAGCAAAACATTTGTGGTATGGCGTAAACTACTCCAGAGTAAGCTATACAGGCAAAAATATTCTTTGCTGGTTTAAATGTACCTACACTAGGGCTTTTGTCTGCATGGCTATTTGCTTAGGTTTGTAACTTTTTCCATATTCATAAACCTACATAATTATGCTAGCAAAACTTTTACTTGAACGCCAGACCTCAGAACAAGCACTGGAAGCTGCTTATAGACCATCTACAATACTGCTTAAAACTTATACAAGAGGGAAACATTCTAGTCTAACTCCAAACATATGAGATTCCATACCTTTGTCTCACGGCCCATCATATATTCAAACAGGACCTTTCGTAAGTATTCAAACTCAGTGGGCTCTCCAAAGAGAGAGACATCAGCATGGCAAAGATTTCCATCTATGTAAACAAAAAAAAAAGAAGTATACTGAAAGTAACTCATCATCTTAGATAATTACTCTCATCTAGCAAGTGATTGGAATGAAGTGTTACCTAGAACGGATCCACTGTAATAAACAGCACAAACATGTCATGTCTAAAATTTAGCGAACACCACAAATACAATACACATCTAAAACATAGTAGTCAATTCAATGCATCTGAAAATACAAGTAATTATCAGCACATCTACATAAAAATATTTATTACTTCCTTAATTTTTCCCTTTTCTTTATTTTTGATCATCTTATAACACAAGCAAGTCAATTTAGATACTGCTGCTACTTTATTTCCAAAGCTCGTGCTAGTAGAACCTGAATCAAGACATTTCACTAACCGTTTGTTTACACTTAAGATTAAAGAGTAAATATGCAAGACAGACATCGGCCTAATGAAATTCCAAGTATGAAGGGTCTCAAATGAGTCTATGTAATACTGACCGTCTGCAAATGCTACTAAAGTGTCTTCTACTGATCTTAATGTCAGTAAATTCCTCAGAGGATCAGACTCTCCAGTGAAAAGGTTTCATTTCAAACAGATGATAAAGTTAAATGAACTATTTTAAAGGACTGGGGAGAAAAAAAGACAAGCAAAAGACAGGATTGGGATTGTTGGTGGGGATGGGGAAAGGAGGTAATTAAAACATATCTCCAGCAACTTCATATTTTTTCCAGTCAAGTGCTCATAATAATATCCGCACTACCCTAGAACCCCCAGGAACACGTACTTCCGAGCCTTTTTGCACTGGGCACTGCACAAACATGGAGTAAACAGATGTACTCTATCCCCAACTAGTTTACAAACCCAGCACAAGAGAAGAGACAAAAAATGGATATGGAGAGGAGCACAAGAAGAAATGAGACAATTAATTATTTCAGCACACCTAACTGAACAAGTTGTTTGGTTCTGGGTTTTGTATTTGCAGCAGTGGAGGGCTTTACAGTACTTAAAATAAGATAGCTTTGCAGATGTTTACTGGCAGCCTCCCAACCCCATGCAGGACAGTGTGGAAAAACCCCCACAAAAGTGTCTGCTTTGATAAGAGGCAAGATCATTGGCCAGATGCAGAAGTCAACATTTAAGTATTAAATGAAGAATGACAAATGTGGGATAGGCTATGAAGAGCTCCCTTCCCTGGAGAAAGTAAAAATTCTCTCAAGGAGATACAAAGTTCTCTGGTTAGGAAGTTTTTGAACAGTTGTTCAGATCTTATTTAAAAGTGTATATTTAGCTTCTATAACATCTATGAGATCCTTTTACTTGCATCCTAATGATCTGTATCTACCAATAACTGCTGAATTCACATATAGGCAACATCTCTGTCTTGCTATTAAAAGTCTATATCTGAGCACGGGCTTTCAAATGTCACCTATCAGCTTCAAGTGTCTGGATAAAATAGTAGAAAAATCACAATCTCAGTGTTAAATGTGCTGGAAATATTTCCATCTTCCTCCTCTGCCCGAAATTTACTATTTAGAGACATTTCTTTTCCAAAATAAATGCTTCCTGGCTTTATAGCGCTTACTCTGTAATTGCTCATCATTAGAAAAAGGATGTGCGCCAGATTGTCTAGATAGTGCCTCTTCTAATCCATTCCAAGCATCGTTCCCTGGATTAATCTTAGCCAGTTTTTTTAAAGTATTACTTCACCAGGGAGCAAATCCAAATTTACAAACAGCAGAACTAATTCAATTACAGGAACAAAGATAGTACCAAAACTACTAATTTTTTAACATCTTGCATTTAGGTGCATATTGTGCATTATAAATGCCACTTATTAATGAACAAATCATTAAATCAGTCTCAAGGACTATTCTGCTCCCTTGAATCATTTAATCAAAAAATTAGTGACAGCTGAAAAATAAAAAGAAAACCAACATTTTATTTATTTATTTATTTACACACACACACACACACACACACACACACAGTATACATATGATGTTGGTTTTATCTTTTTCTTATTTTATTTATATATACACAGACAGACAGACAGACAGACAGACAGACAGACAGACAGACAGACAGACAGACAGACAGACAGACACTACAGCTGAAATATACCAATAAAAACCACAAGAATAAATTCTTGGTCCACCTCAGGACCATGGACCATTTTAACTATACCATTTTCTCGGTTGTTACAGTTACTGTTTATCAGCTTTTATTCTAGAAGCTTCCAGAAACTTCTTTCAAAAAGTCCAATCCTACCTAGTTTTACCTAGCCTTCAGTTGCTGTTGCCTTGCTTGGCTGCCTCTGTTCCTGTGACCTTTCTTGTGTTTGTATTTGACTCAGATACCAAGCAAACTGTGCCTTAGTCCCTCAAGTGCATCCCTTAGATAACAGGCCTGGCTTCCTGCAGCTGTGCTGGATGCAACCATACAAATCAACTGCTCTTAGACCGGATCCTTATGTACAGCCTCACCCTCTCCCTCCCCTTGTTTATCTGCTGTGTTAATCTAACTGGCCCCAAGGTGTTTAACACATAAAATACTTTTTGCTTTAGGGACTTCTGACAACAACTGATTAAAGGGCTTCTAAAGCAACTTCTTCAAAGCTAAGTTGTGTTCAATTACCAAAGGCAACAACACATTTAGGAAAACAGGCTAATGCAACATGTATATATCTTGTTTCCTGAACTTAACTTTTCTGTGCACACTGAAGGCAGGTCCAGTTTACCAAACCTTTGACTTGAGAGGATAGCTGACTTGCTGAATCTCCTGAGTCTGCGTGCACCTGCCAGCTCTCTAAGAGTCCCTGACCAGTTTCTGGCCACTCACTCAAGCCTTGGTATTTCTTGGCCCGTGGTCCATGCTTTAGTGTTCCCTTTGATCTTGTGCTTCTCAGCTTTGGCAAAACAGCTGTGTCAAGATTTGGTCCCAGAAGTCAACTCATCATAGCTATATATCTGGCTACTACATCTGAGTACCTGTTAGGATGCTATTTAAATTGGCCATTGTTTTGCCTTTTCTGCTTGCTGCATTAACTCAATTTAATCCACCTCAGAAGCAGTTAAACCAACACATGCACACAGAGGCATATACCACTTTCTAAAAAAAGAATTATACTGTGGCAAATTGAGAAATACATATTATACCTGTCCCCAGGTAAACCAAAATTCTTGAGACAGACCATTGTTTCCCAATTGTTCCACACCACACAAGGACACACAGGTTTGCCATAAAACAGCTTCATAATGAGATCACAGTTTCACAATCTATATTTTTCACATTGTGTTGGGGTGATCGGAGAATCGGCAATTTGGCCATAGCTAAACTCAGTTGTGTATTTTTCTATGCACCTCAAGGTACCAGGCATGGCTCATGATGATGGGGTGGATGGAGCATCCCACAGGAGCGCTGGGGGGAGGGGGGAGTCCCTGTGTGCTCTGCAGCAGACCCAGAACTTCCGGGTCCACCACTGAGAGCGCAGGGGCCCTCCTATGGCTTGGCAATCGGGGGG